TACTGAAACTACCTACCCGTGAAGTGCCTGGGAAGTCCTATGTACTACCACGGGTGTGCCTCCTGAGCCGTGCGAGCAGTTCAGGAGGCTGCTCTTGCCAATGCGGAAAGGAGGCAGGGGCTGCAGCTGCAGCTCCTGCTCGAGCTCGTGAGGAACAGGCTATTTCTGGCCTGTTCCGCATCCCTGTTTACGTGCCGGAGTCTTAGGGGCAGGTYGAAACAATGAGGGCCTGAAAATGGCCCTCCGTTTCAGGCTGGAAAAACTCTGAGCCCTAAGTTTTAGGCTTTTAGGCTGAATGTCCGGGACGGGCCCTGCAGGGCCCATGTGGCTATGCAGTATGCCACACAGCCCCTGCTTGGAGATCATTCAGTCTTCTGCATTCTGCTTGACGCTTGCTTGATGCTAGTGCGGCGACGCAAGGCCGTTGGAGCTTCATGCTGGCACCAGATAGTGAGTGTGGGTGACAGCCTTGAGAATGATTATGATGACGTGGCCATAGCCACATTGATTCGACATTGACAGGGTGGGCGAGGAGGAGGAGGATCTGGACTGTGAGATTGGTATGAGCGATGAGGAGAAGCTTACCTGGACGTACCTGTGACGACGCGTGTAATTTCCTGCTCATCTCCAAGAGGAAGATCTGCGCCATCCTCCTTGGCTGCTGCCGATGTGGCTGGAGGGTGTGGGCCCTGCTGTGACCTGTTCGTTGTATGTGTTAGAGATCGTCAGGGGAGAACTGTATTGCTGCTGTGGCAAGTGTGCGGGGAACGCCGAGGAGGAAGGGGGCTTGAGAGGGGTTTTCTGCTTCGTCGATTTGTGTGGAAACTCTCCTCCTCCTCCTCCTCCTCTGTGTCTCTTCCCCACCTCCCTCATTCTCTTCTCTGAGTTCGGAACATTGGGGGACTACATGTATGACGAGCATCGATTCATAAACGATTTCGGGAGACACTGATGCTACGCTGTGTCAGACTTGCATTTTGACATTCACGAGCTTCTCACCTGACTGGGTTCATTGCAGAGAAAGAGAGGCGGTAAGATTGCATACTGTAACTGACTTGGTATTAACCTTTTTTTTCTCTCTTTCTTTGGTATTTTCCTTGTTTGTTGAGATGGTTGATTGCAGGGCTTTTATGAAGAGAAAACGAGAGAGAGAGAGAGGGGGGGGTGTGGGGGGGAGACGGTAAAGATTGTGGCATGGCATCTGAGGAGGAATGGTGAGGAGAGAGCTACGTAGCTGTGAGGGGAATGGAATTCCTGTTGCAAATGTCTGTTGACAGCAGAAATTGATATTTCACGGCTCAACAGCTGAAGGGCAGTCAAGAGAGAAAAAAAAAAAAAAGACATTGATTGACGTCGACAGTGCAGTAGCAGTCGATTTTGATTTGAAAGCATGAGCAGCGGGGAGGATGTCAATAAGTGTGATGATGTGGAGGACTACATGGCAGACATCAGCCTCTTTGTTAAAGAAGATGTCACAGCTATGGCTTCCAAGAAGCAGAAGGCAGCGTTTTTGTCTCCCAGTGTAAGTACTCTGAATTTCTCTTCATGCCTATGATTACCTATACTCAGTGTTGGACCCGCCGACGGTTGGCGGCCCTTGACTGGTCAGCTGCCGACCCGCCGACCGATCGGCTGGTCGGCACCTACCAGTCAGGGGTCATCGGCACCCCGCACCCTTTTGTTTTTTTGTTTTTTGGGATCAAGAACCCCTAATAACCCCACCCACACCCCCATAGCGGCCCCCAATATCCGCATACACCAACCCAACACTCCCGAACCGCCCCCAACACCCTTATTAAACCCCCCAATATCCCCTCTATCACCCCTATACTCCCCCTATACTCCAACCCATACCTGCGGCGTATCGCGTGTGCGCGAGCTCCACACGTGCGACGCATAAGGCACGTGTAAGCATGCACACGCACATGATGCGACGCACCCCAATAAATAGGATGTAAAATTTTTTTTGGAGAATGCTGGCTGAGGTAGCCAATGGTGCACCTCCCCACAGAAAAAAAATTGGGCTCATGTATTCGTTGTTGAATAGTCTTTTTCCCGGAGGACCCCAGCAGTGCATATGCAAGGGTCCACCATCCCAAGAGACGTTCAGCGAATTTCGTATGAAAGAGGAGCAGGCCAGCAATATATGTTCTGGATCCGAAGTCAGGTCTGCTTTCCAGCAGTTATGGGTTACAAGTTACAACTACTTACTACCGTAGCTCTTCTCTTTCTTTTGTTTCGTTTTCCTACGAGCAGTGGCCCTAAGGGCCTTGCTCCACTCTTCACTACTTGCACAAAAGACAAAACATATGGCGGTGTATGGTTCCATGTTCTAGCAGAAGATTCATTCCTCTCTTTCTTTTGTTTCCCAAGCAGTGGCCCTAAGGGCCTTGCTGCACTCGCCACCACTTGCACAAAAGACAAAACATATGGCGGCATACGGTTCCATGTTCTAGCAGAAGATTCATTCTAGTTTTGCACATGGTGAGTTGGCCTGAAAAGCACGTGGTGAGTTGGCCTGCCACTGCCCAGAAACTCGCGTGCTCAGTGGTCCCATAACTTCTGAAACACGGACCTTAAAGTGAATCAACAGCATATATACTTGGCGTGCCATGACTTTAGCATGGCTATGACTATTACCTCGTTCATGGCAACGTGGCCCTTGCTGATTGTGTGCAGGGGCCTCTCGGATAACCCGCAGGGGGTTTGAAATAAATGCTAAGGAGCTATTTAAGGAGCTATTTGTTTACATTCTCTCCTCTCTCTCTCTCTCTCTCTCTCTCTCTCTCTCTCTCTCTCTCTCTCT